CGGTGGTAATTTTGGGCCGGGTTGCCTGTTTTGGCGGATTGTTGTGTTGTGTGCCGCGTATTACGTGTACCGGGTACCACTTTCTCGAGCGAATTGCTCTGGGGAACCTGTTGTGTGAGTTGCTGGCTTTTTGGCTAGACTTTGAGGAGGGTTTATACACGCATATCGGCGGATATAGACGACACGCCATTTCTTTAAATAAAATTAATTGGTGCTCGTTTGTATGTACATACATATGTAAATGCATGTGTGTGCACCTTTCTATTAATATCGTTGAATTATTTTAATATCTATTGCAAAATTTTATTCAGACAGGACTAAAAAGTAGAAAATAAATAATATAAAAAAAACTTTTTAATATACAACGCTTTTATAAATGGACTAAAAAGTAGAAAATAATACTTCTCAGTCCCATAGAATTTGTTTTGATAACTTTTGATTTTGAAATTTTAGCAAAAGTCATTATAAACAATCTATGAAATTGAAAATGAAAAGCGTGGGGCGCATGTAATACACTTGAATTGATATGAAAAGTAATATATGAATGTATGTATGTGGGTATATGAATAACGACCGCTTAAAATCGATTTCAAAGTTCTACTTTCGCTGTAGAAATTTTAGGTCTACGTTATGTAGTTTGACTATTGTCAATTAAATCGAATGCTTTGTATTGCATGCGCTCCACGTTTTTCATTTTCAATTTCATAGATTGTTTATAATGACTTTTGCTAAAATTTCAAAATCAAAAGTTATCGAAACAAATTCTATGGGACTGAGAAGTATTATTTTCTACTTTTTAGTCCATTTATAAAAGCGTTGTATATTAAAAAGTTTTTTTATATTATTTCTTCTTTATGATGCCTTTGCGCTCAATTTGGCAATTCTTATACTATTTTCAGACAGGCAGTTAATCGAGCAATTATCCAAGCTTTCTCAATTAATGCACTAATTAAGATCGATTTGCCATACAAAATTTCAATTATTAATTGCTCGATTGGTAATTAATTGAATGTTTAATCTAGTAAAAACTCCAATGCAACTCTGTTAGGTAAGTTCGTTTTCTTAGTTTTGGTGTGTTCAGTGTTAAATGACAATCAGCTGTTTGACATAATTTTATTATTTTCTTTTTGGAACCAGCAAACATCAAAAACCAAAAAAATTGTATTTCAACTGCAGGATGCAGAACAATCTGAATGGTGAGTAAATAAACACAAATGGTTATGTGTAATGTTTATTAAAAACACATATGTATGTATTTCAGTTCGATTAGCTCCAAAACCAAGAAAGAGGAGACTGGCTTGGGCTGAGGATGGCGAAGTGGCCATTCTTGATTTGTGGGAAGAGCGCGTTGCTGATCTCCGCGGTGCACGGAAGAATGGCCACATCTACGCGGAGATGGCGAACGAGCTGGCAAAGTTGGGCCACAACTACAGCGCCCGGGATGTGCAGGTGAAGTTGGCGAACTTCACGCAACGCTACAGGTACGAAGAAATAAAGGAATAATATTCAAAACCACTAAAAATTTAATTCGTTAATAGAAAAGAGAAATTGGCTATGGGACCTTCTGGTGGATCACCCTCAACGTGGCCTTTATACGCAAGGGTGCACCAGATAATCGGTGGATTTAAGGCCAATATGTTTTGCGAGCTGACGCTTGAAAACATCAGCGGTATGTATGCGTTTTTGGAATGTGCCTTACTAAAAGCCGTAATGTGTTTAGTGGAGATATTTGTTTTGTAGCAGAGTGACGCGTCTGTGTACATGCTAGAACTATCAGCTCGTTTAGTTGCAGGTTTAAGTGCGAAGGTACACTTCGATTTTGCACGAGCACAGACATACGGTGGTGCTTCAAAACAAATGTTCCACTAAAACTTAAGTAGATAAAAATAACTAAACCGTACCCAGGGTTGGCACCTCATGGATCCGCAAATTATTATTTACTACGATCGTAGCAAAGTGCCAACGCTGACCGTACCCTATCTTTTTAACTTCGATACAAGCACATATGAACATATGTATTTATTTAATGCTGATTTTTTTTATTTCATTCTTATTTGTTTTTTTTTCTTTTAAACAGAATCCGATATAGCATCCCAGCCATCACCACTGACCCCAATATTGCCGTCATCACTCAGCCCAACATTTTCCTCACCACTGGCATCACCTCTTCCTGCTGTGCCAACCACACCGCTGCCTACACCGTCACCGCCGCTGTCATCACCTCTCACTCCTCTGCCAACCACACCGCTCCCCACACCGTCACCGCCGCTATCATCGCCGTCGTCACCAATGCCTAGCAGCTCAGCTTCTGCGGTTGAGCCTAAAAGAAGGAAAGTAATCGGCACTTTACAAAAGAAAGTATTAGATAAATTTGATGGGTTGTCAGCGGAGATAAGCCAACATATACAGAGGAGTGAGGAAAATGAAAAAGAGTGGATGAAGATAGAGAAAGACAAAGCTGACACACTGAGGGAGATAGCGAATGATAACAAAGAATTAAAAGTTGGCATTTTATCATTTTTAAATAGAAATTAATAACACTGTACAGCACTCGGCTGGGTATTGGACCAAACCAACTTTTTTAAAGAGATTGAGCCATAAGTAAAAAAAAGTTAGTTCTCCGTTTTATTATATATTCCGTTTCGTCCGTTTTATTATATATTACAGGTGCTATAACGGGTCAAAGTCAGATGTTCGAAAAATGAAAAACTTAATATTTCAGACAATTTTGAACCGATTTTAAAAGGATTCACATCGTTGTAAAAGTTATTAAATCCGCTTTCTTTCGATATGCATATTTGTATACTTCGTATATAAAATTTTTAGAAAAAACACATTTAAATGAAAAAATACCTTTTTTTATAAAAAAAAAAATATTTTAAACAAAAATATGACTAATAAATATGACTATGAAAGGGGATTTAATCGCCTTTACAACAATATAAATTGTTTGCAATATAAGGAAATTAATTTTTCGAAGACCTGAACTTTGACCCCTTATATAGGTAATATAGGTCTGCACAAAAAAATTGATTTAACATTTAAATAAAAGGAGGACTACGCCTATATTTTTAGGTTTTTAGTTATTTACATACATGCAATAATTTAATATAATTTTTTACCAAAGGTCCTATTTCAAACTTCGAAGGCCCATATCTCGATTTCGGAGGCTAACTTCGAAAAACGGAGAAATCACTTTTTTTTCATATGACTCACAAAAAGTATATACAGTGGACGGTATTTTTATAGATAAATAACAAAAGAAATTTAGCTCGAAAAAAAAAAATGTAAATGAATTAAATTAACAAATAAAAATTGTACTCACTAAAATAATTGCATAATCCTTGCCTTATTTCTTCAGCTGAGGGTTGATTGTCTCCAACTATCGTGACATATTCAGGATTTTCGAGATTTCTGTTCACTTCTTGCAATCTCTCCAACCACATGTCATTTATAGTGTCGTTCATTTCATTTAAATAATTGTGCAAGACGCAGCAGGCTCTAATAATGATGGGTGCCTTCCCAATTCGGTTGTCTAAACCTTTTCCAACACGACGGAATCGTCCTTTCAAGTGGCCAAATGCATTCTCAACTACTCTTCTGCACTTTGAAAGCTTATAATTATAGAGTTTTTGTGTTTCAGTTAAGGCCATTGAAAACGCGTATGGCTTCATTAAGGAGGTGGAAAACCGAAACGCAGAATCTCCAATAATGCATATAGGCATTTGTACTCCACCTATTTCTTTCTTACTGACCTTCAGTAATTCGTTCTCCTCCATTACTCGCTTCATTAACGATGCATTATATATCTGCGAGTCATTGCATCGTCCAGGAGCACCAATGTTCACATATAAAAACCGATATCTGAACATATATAGAAATAATTAATACATGCTTTTTAGAAAAAAACAACAGGATGAAAGTTAAATAACCTGTAATCCACTACAGCTAGTAGAACAATGGAATACCATCCTTTATAGTTGTGGTAGTCGGTTGCATCGGCTGGATTCGGCCTAACTTCGATGTGGCACCCATCTGAATATATATGTATGCACGTATATCTTTGTTTTTATATAAATTAGTTGCATTTTTAACTTTCTTACCAATTGCTCCAAGGCATTGGGGAAAGCCGAGACGGTCAAAACCATCAACACAGTCTTTTAAAGTTTGTGGAGTCGGTGGTAATTTCTTTATGTATTGCGCTGACAAAGCTTGCCAGACTTCATCGCAAAACTCCCACAAGATTGTGCACACGGTCGATATTCCAACACCAAATAGTTCGGAAACCACTCTGTACTCTCCAGACGATCCCAGCGTAAATAGAGCTATCGCAACGCGTTTTTGCAATGGAATCGCGTTGCGCCAGTTTGTGTCGGCTTTGTGCAGGTTTTTGAGGAAGCCACAGAGTGTTTCAAAACTAGTGCGGTTCATGCGGAAGTGCGTCTTAAAGAAATGGTCATCGTTGCAATTGCAATTAACTTCCCAGAAAGAAGACTGCCGATTCTGTAATAGAGGAAGTATCATTTATAAAAGGACAAGAACTGATTACTTATAATCTGATTTACCAATTTCCAGAGGGATCTCTGAGTAGCGTTCCTCTGCAGTAACCCGTAAAGCAATAGCTGCTGTCTTCGCAAATGTTGCAAAATTATGAAGTTTTTTTCTTTTCTTTTTTTATATAAGGCCATTGAACTTGCGTAGCTTGCCAGCACTGACTGCAAAACTTGTATATTTGCAGTATACGCAAGAAAAAGTTCGCTTAAACACTTATTGTTTTCCATTTTACCAATTTATTTTAAATAAACAAAAATTCTTTTAAGACAGCTGACAGCCACTCGTTAATCGAGCAGCTGATTGTGTGTGAAACACAAAAATCTAATACTTAATTAAAAACTTAATTGACTCAATTAATTTTCTGTCTGAAAACAGTATTAGCCTCGCTGTCTATTCATTTGCAAGAGAAAAAAAATAGAGAGTTGCACCTGTTTGCAGCTTAAGGAAATTGATAAGAAAAACTAGATATTGCAAAGTGGGCGCCAAAAGAAAGAGACTTAAGAAGGCTTACAGCCAAAAATATTAGTTTAGAGTTGCCACCTGTTTCAAAATTTTAATTTAATTTAATTTATAAGATAAATTGAATATTGAAGTATGGGTATCAAAATGAAGAGGCTTAGGAAATTTTACTGCCGAAAATATTTTTAGGGAGGGTTGCCACCTGTTTGAAAAGTTGTATTGTATCAAATTGACAAAAAAAATTAATATTAATATTTTGACTCACTGTCTGACTGTATATTTGTACGCGCATCTTTCGAAAACATGGAATTGAATGCAGTTTTCACCGATGTATCTCTAGAGATCTAGCTTACAATATAAAAGAAAAAAATTAGAGAGTTGCCACCTGTGTTTAAAATTTCAGTTTAGGTCAATTGATAAGGTTAAGTAAATACTGCAATATGGCTGTCAAAAGAAAGAGGTTTACCAAGGCTTAGAGCTGAACACATTTTTGTGGAAGATTGCCACCTATTTGAAAACGTTAATTTAATTTAATTGATAGCATAAATTAAAAATTGTAATATTGGCATCAAACTAAAGAGGCTGGGAAATTTTAATGACGAAAATATTCTTAGGAGATTTGCCAAAACGCTTAAAAAATTGTATTCATTTAAATTTGTAAAATAAATGAAATATTACAATACGGACATTAAACTAAAAAGGATTAGGAAGCTTACTTTTGAAAATATTTTTGAAGCGGGTTGCCACTTATTTGAAAACTTCAATTCAGTTAAATTTATAAGATAACCTATATGTTGCCATATGGGTATCAAAAGAAAGTATTTGAGAATAGTAAAGTTGCAACAGGCCGATATCTGTACATAATAGATGTTTAAGAAAAATTAATAAGGGGCTTATTAGATCAACAAAAGCCAAATCTGCAAATCGCCCCCTTCCCTTTCGTTTCGACAAAAATTACGTAAAAAGGATGTAGTAAAATTTTATTTTGACAGACAAACACAAAGACATAAAAACATGAGATCATGAGATCATTACAACGTACACCAACAAAACAAAACAACTAAACACACACACAATCACAACTAAAGCACAGAGAATTTATCACAATGCATGCACCTTTTTTTGGTCTTTATAAAAATACAGTTTATACTAAACACATCAAAAAACATAAAAATAAAATTTCTAAACTTTGTGCAAAACTTATTAAAATGCAATAAATTTGCATGCAAATTTGCAACTTTCTAACAGGCTTTTTATAAAAATTTTGAAAATGAAGTTTTTCAGCGTATAAAAATTTAGTTGATTTTTGGTATTGTTTTTACTGAGAGTTTCTTCCATACTAACTATGTTCGACAATTTTTTAATATGGAAGACACTGTCAGCAAAAAATAAATATTTGCAAAAAAATCAACGAAATTTTCTGGTAACTTCAGACTTGCACTTTACTAGTTGGCTACATTTTCAAAATTTTTCTAAAAGATCTGATTAGAAATTGTAATCTGATGAAAGAGTCTCCGAGCCAATAATTTTGTACGGCACTGTACTTATAAGTACTATAGGTTTCATGCATATATGTAATACTTCTATATTGGCAGTAAGCTAATTTCTCAATGTGTAAGCATTTCGAAATCAAAACGAGACAGTCTAGTACCGTTTTGTCAATGTATTCTGTACGTGAGTGCCGTTTTTGGGTATGTGTTGTGTACATGTTTATTTATAAACGTATGTGTTCCTTTTCTTTCGTACGTGTTTATTGATATATCGGTACTGTAGTCTTCTCGGACGGTATTAGCTCTTACTGCTAATATAGGAGTATTACATATCGATGGCTGAGTGGAAGATCGACCTATCTCGGCAGCCAGTTCG